CTTTATCCGCACCTTTACACACTCCTCTTGCATTCACACATGTACACAACCCCCTTGCACCATACACACACCTTTACGTGTCCACCCTTGTCCTGTGCACTCACACCCTCAGATACCCCTCATGCACTCAGCTTACACACACACGCTCCTTGCACTGTGCACACTCCCCTCATGTACCACAGGCTCACCCCTTATGTACAACACTTGCTCTGTACATGCACAGCTTGCACATTCCATGCACACCACGGAGAGAAAGGACTGTGCACTCACCTTTACACATCCCTCATGCACTCACACCCTTACACACACACACACACCACCTTTACACATCCCTCATGCACTCACACCCTTACACACACACACACACACACTCCTTGCACTGTGCACACCCCCCTCATGTACCACAGGCTCACCCCTTATGTACAACACTTGCTCTGTACGTGCACAACTTGCACACTCCATGGAGAGAAAGGACTCCACGTGAGGAAGGACCACGGAGAGGAAGAAGCACTGTGGAGAGGAGGAAGGACAATGGAGAGGAAGGATGATGGAGAGGAAGGACCACGCAGAGGAAGAACCCAGCACAGCCGCTGCAGGGGCTGAGCGCTGCTGACGGAGCCGATGCTGAGGACTCCATCCCACCCAGGATTCCCCCAACACATCCATGAGAGTCCAGGGTGGTCCCGCACACTACTGGAGTACCCCTGACCGCCACCCTGGCTCTGTCCCTGCCCCCTTCACTTTACTCCAACGGGATGGAAAGGAAAACGGGGTGCAGGCGTTTGGGGGGAGGCAAAAATAATTTGGGAAGTTCATTAGGAAAACTCATTAGGTAAAAATGTGAAAGCAGGGACAGGCAGCAGAATGGAAAGGCTCGAGGGTCCCTCCAGCCAATTTGGCCATCCCGTCACCTTTCCACACAGGGAAAGTGAGGGAGAGGCAGGGCTGGAAATCAGGCTTGTGCCTCCTTTCCCAGCCCTCCGGTAGCGGTGCCCGCGGCACGGAGCCGGAGGGGCTCCGTGAGAGATCCCTGCTTCCCTCCGCTTCCCTTGGATCCGGGAGCCACTGGAGGCAGAGCGCGGGGTCGCTCCGCAGGCACCGGGGCTGCCGAGACCAGCCGACAGATGCTGCGTCTGTTTTCTGCTCCTGGCTCGGTTTGGTTTCTGTGTGGGCGGCTCATGCGAGCAGAAGGTGATGGGGAACAGCCCGTCCTTCTCAACCCCCAAACTCAGCCGGCCCTTCTCGCGGGGCTCATCCTACCCTCGGGTTTTTGGAGAGCCACCGGCGTCCCCCCCCCTCCCTTTCTCTGAGCGCATTTATCCCCCGTGAATCACAGCACCAGCCTCCTGGAACAAATCCGTTTCGACGGTGTCCTCGTTCCTGTTGTTGTGAGCCATCTCGGAGGTATTTGCACCGAAGCCACAATCCCAAAGGTCATGGATTTTCGGCAGCCTGGCACCGTGCCCGTCTGCGGGCACGGAGGGAGAGAGGGGGCCTTGAAACCTGCCCCTCACCGCTGCCTCGGGCTCTGCAGCATCCACTGCCCAGCTCCCTGGGGATGCTCTTTTGGAGATGCCACATCCCAGCCCTCCTCCTGCAGCACCGACAGCTGCTGGTGGCCTTTAGCAAAGCTCCCCTGGACCCACCAGCATCTGTGTTGTAGGGGGCTGTCCTGTCTCCACATGGAAAGGAGAGGGGAGGTGGAGAGGGATGGAGAATGGGAATAGTGGGGATCCCACGTTGCTGCAGCTTCCTGGTCCCCACCACGGCATCTCTCAGCCCTCCCTCTGTGCTGTCATGGAATCACTTAGGTTGGAAAAGACCTCCGAGATCATTGTGTCCAGCCCAATCCCAGCAAGCTCTCCCTGCCGTTGGGAAGCAGGCAGGGAGGAGGATGGAGGAAAGGAGAGTGTGTCTGGCGAAAACCCACAGTATCACAGGGAAAACCCCCCCTCAACAACCCCCCTCCTTCACCCGGCAGCTGCTCACCAAACCCATTTTGAACTGAACAACACAGCAACGGAAAAAAAAAAAAACGATGCCTTGTTCTCCTCCTTCTCCTCCAACCATCGTGACAAATGGTATTTCACTCAGGCGCTGGCAGATAAAATCAGGTTTAAGCCACACACCTCAAACACGAGGCTTTATCTGAGCCGGGTTTGGAGCCTGACCTTTACCACGGCGCGGTGCCGCCGGCTCGCAGCCGCGGGAAGGCGGGAGCTGCCGCGGCGCCCGGGGCTCCTCCGAGGTGGTCCAGGAGCCAGGGGAGAAGGGAGAGGAGGGAGAGGAGGAGGTTTTCCTGCTCGGGGACAGGAGGGAGAGCAGGGGGAGTCAGGGATGCTCAGCGGAGCGGGACAGCACGTGGGTTACAGAGCTGGGCACAGATGTGGGGACAGCAGCCGTGGGACGTGCACCGAGCTGCCACCGGGCTCAGCCACCTGTGGGTGACATCACCAGCACCAAAAAAAACCGCAAACCTGCCCCCCCCAGCCCCTCTCCCATCCAGAGGGAGTTACCAGGCATTGCTTTCCCTGCACTGTGGCTCTGTATCCTCCGTGTCAGGCAGGGAGCAAACCTGGGTTTTCCCCATCCCAAGTGAGCAGTGAGGAGCTGAATTTAAAATAAACCAACCCCAAATCGAGCCTTTGCTCCCTCATCAGCGTGTTCTGTGTCCCCAGGGGCTACTGTAAACAGCAAAGTTTGGCTACAGATAAAAAATACGTTGATTTTGTTAAATAGATGAATATTTTTGTTAAAGAAACACCTAAACCCTCATGTAGGGTGTCACTGCTTCCATCCATCTGCAAGATGATGTGGTGACAGACTAAGGGACAGAAGAATGGTCCTGTCATGACCCAAATGGCCCCCAGAATGGTGTAGCTTGGAGTCACCGCTGCCCCAATTGAATTTGGTACCTGTTAACACGTATTTGAAGTCATTTGTTGTTCCTAATGGAATGAGTGACATCGCCTTGGGTGGCTTTAATGCCTCACCCGGATGGGAACCAGGACTGCTGCTTCATTAGCATGAGTCTGACTAATTAGTGAGGTACCTGCAGCTTTTAACAACCTCTCACTTTTTCTTTTCTTTTTTTTTTTCCATGCATTAAAAGCTGTAATTTGGAAATCTGGCCGGGAACAGAGGGGAGATGCTGACAGCAGAAAGGTCTTGGCCGGGGCTAACCAGTTGCCACCAGCAAGGGATGGAGGAGCTGGGAGAGAGCCCCAGACCCCAGTGGGGGGCCCCGGGCTCGGTGGCAGAGGGTGAAAAATGAGCAAACTTGGGTTTTCTGCAGAAGAAAAAAAGCAGAGCCACCCACGCGCCAGGAAATCTCTCCTCTCCGTGTGGGTGGCGGAGGCCCCAAGATGAGTTATCTCTAAAGGGCGACTCTGGGGATACCTCGAGATCTTCACCGGCGTGGATCCGGCGCGTGCCAGGGAGGAAATATCACCGGGGCCAGCTGGGGCTTTGCCTCCTGCTCCTGGTTTTGCAGCAGCTTGGTTTTTAAAATCAGCCAGAAAACGGGAGCCTCCATCCCCCCTCCCCGGCGCGTCGCTCCGTGGATCCGTTTTCGCGCCGCGCGACCCCTCACGAGGTGGTTTTACCCCCTTTATCCTTCCTGCTTCCCATGGGATGATCACTGGGGAAGGAGGGTGCCCAGGGACAGATGGCTGGTGCAGGGGGTTCATTTTAAGGGTATTTAATGGAAAATGGCAGCGTTTATGAGGGGAAAAGAAGAGGGTTAAAGCTCCATCGTGCTCGTAAGGCTCCGCACTTTTCGGAGCAGCCTCTGTGTTAGGAGGAACTAAAAAAGCAGAATTTACAGTATAGATCTAAAAACTTGAGCCTGGCAGAGATTTTGGCCTGGCCAGAGAACAGCTGGCTCCGGCTCAGCTCGTAAAAAAGTTAAACTGGGGAAGAAAGGGAACAAAAAAGCCACCCCAGCATTGAATGTTTATGTTTCCAGCAGCTCCGAGGTCTCTCCAGCTGATCCGCCTCTCCCTGTGCAACTTGCTCCGGCTGAGTCAGGAACCAGCTGCTTCGGATCAAAGCCGAAGGCTTTTCCATATGCCACAGAAAGCCTGACAAGAGGGAAAGCAGGCTGCTTCCAAGGGGAATCAGAGGGGTTTTGCCACAAAGGCAGGGAAGAGGAGCCCCAGCTGCAGGAGAACAGCAAAACCCTCTGAGAACCAACACACGGCTCCGTACTGGATCCCAGAATCCCTGCTCTTCCTCACTAGCCCTGGCTGTCCCAGCTGGGCTGGGCTTAGCTCACCTTGGTTTTCCAGTTGAACGAACTTGAAAGATACCCCTGAAACAGAGGCAGAGGGAGGGAGATTTAGGAAAGGCCGTTGTCTCCCTCCTGTGGGGAGATGCACAAATGAAATTAATGCCCTCTCCTCCCCCCGGCGTTGTGTTGATAAAATATTCCTTTTAAAGGAGCGCTTTTCCTGTCACTTTCCCTGTGTGTTTTCCCAACATTCTGCCACAGCAAAGGCAAAAAAAGAGGCCCTTTCCTCTTGGTTTTCCCCCCGAGCCTCAATAATGACATTGTGGGAGGTCAGAAGTGAGTGTCCAGGGTGAGTTCAGCCCTGTCCAACCTAAATCTGACCTGCAAACCTCTATTTCTTCCATCCCAGAAGTTCCTAAGAACAGGTAGAGCAGGAGTAGCCTTTACTCAAAGTCTCCCAAACCTGGGTGAGCTAAACAACCCATTTTAGTGTATTTTTTCTGCTAAAAGCACGAAGAGATGCAAGTCACCATTGCCGAAGTCAACGCCAAAACCATTTATTTGAAATCAAGTTATCATAAAAACAACTTGCAGCCATAAAACACCAAGCCCTCGGTAACTGTGCAAAACAAAAATAGACCCTCATTTTCGGGAGCGTTTGTTTTCGATGAGCAGCACGACGAGTCTATTCCGAAGGAACCTTATTTCCTTTTTGTAGGACGAGCAGAATAAGTCCCTCAGCTTCTGGCGCAGGGCTCCGAGCGAGGGCAGGCTGTGGCAGCTGGGGATGTTCAGCAAGGTCTCAAAGAACTCCTTCCACAGCTCAGCGTTGGCAAGCCTGTGAAAGGAGCACCAAAAAAAAAAAGCTAAATTAAAGCTGTTAAAATAGGAATTTACCTCCCCCAGTCGGAGCTGCGACAGAATCAACAAAGCAAGCCGGGGCTGACAACAGGTCTTTCTAGGCAAAGGTTTGGGAAAGGTTTTTGACACTGACCTCCTGAAGGTTCCCTCAGGCTTCCAGACTCCGTTTTCATTCTTTATTTGCATGTAGGTGCCGAAGATCATGCAATAAATTGTGGCTGCGATGCCAAAGTAGTCTGTCTAAACGAAGAACACGCCGGCTTCACGTTAAAAATACACCAAGGCCGCTAAAAACCAGCTGGAAAACCCCTGTGGGGGGGACAAGCTCTGCAAAAGGAGAGCTCGGGAGTGTGCTGAAGGCACAGCTCTTACAGTTAAAAGTCTAATATTCTCAGTGGGAGGCTCCAGGGAATCCCCTACCTGGTAGTTCCAGGGTTTCCGCGTCAGCATTTCCACGCACTGGAACCCAGACGTCTCGCAGCGGGCGGTGAACGCCGTCCCCTCGGGGAAGAGCTTCATGTCAACGCTCTGGCCAAAGTCAATGAGGGTCAAGCCATGGGAGAGCCCATCTATGTCGCAGGTGTCATTGTCCAGAAACCTGCAGGCACGACAAGAACCAGCCCACGTTAAGTCGAGGCTCCGGCGCCGCCTCTCGCGCGGGGTGAGAAACACTCGCCTTTCCCCGAGGATGAAGTTGTCGGGTTTGATGTCCCCGTGGATGATCCGGCAGCTGTGGAGCTCCTCCACCATGTGGAGGATTTTCACGGCGAAGTAGATCACCAGGGCTTGGGGCATCACCTTCTCGGGAATCCTCTTGTAAAGGTTGATGGCGTTCTGTGAACCCAGAGGACACACAGGGATGACTTGCTATGGGTTAAAGGCCTGAGGGGATGGACAGAGATGCTCTCCAGAGCAGAAGCTGATGCCACTCACCAGCAACGTTCCGTAGCTGTGGAGTTCACCCACCAAAATGCTCCCGTTTCGGAAGAAATGAGCAGAATAAAAGTGAGCGTAGAGGTGGTGCAGGCTGGGGTCCACCCTTTCCACCAGCTGGGTTGCAACGTAGAACTCCCAAGGGTTGGCAGGTTTCTGGACCTGGAAGTAAGAAGTGGATTTACTGGGAAAATCTGTGAGCGTTGAAAGCAGAAGTTCCTCTCAGGCTGGGGTTTTTTAGTGGGAGATTTGGCATCTTCCCTTCCCAAATAAATACATATGATAGGATCATGGAATCCTGGGATGGTTTGGGTTGGAAGGGACCTTAAAGATGATCCTATTCCAACCCCCTGCCATGGGCAGGGACACCTTCCACTAGCCCAGGTTTCTCCAAGCCCCGTCCAACCTGGCCTTGGACACTTCCAGGAATGGGGCAGCCACAGCTTCTCTGGGAAAACTGTGACAGAGCCTCACTCCCCTCACAGAAATTAACCTCAGGTCAATAGACTTGATGATCAGTCCTGTCCTATCAGGAATCCAATTCCATGCCACAATCCCATTCTGGCCACACACTTTGGTGTATCCCTGATGCTCAAAAGAAAGCATAAATCACCTTTTTATCCCCAAAAGATCTCACATAGGGTGTTAACACAAAGAAGGCTTTTTCCTGAAAGCCCAAATGTTGATGAGAAGATCCACAAAAAGGTCCCAGGGACAGATCTGAAGTGGGAAGGCCAAGGGGAGGTGTCACTACTGTAAGACTCCAGAATCATTCCAGGAGAGCATTCCTGGCCCAATCCCACTGACCTTGAACACGACTTTCTGGTTGTTCCGAGGGTTATTGGCATCCAGGAGGGAAGCCTGATAGACTTGGGCAAAAGCTCCCTCTCCAACCAAGCAATCCACATGGAATGAGTTGGAACCTTAAAGAGATGAACAACATCAAATCCTGCTTGCAGACTCCAGGAGGAGAATCACTACTCAGGGAAAAAAAAAAGGAGAGCACCAGCCTACATGGATTATTTAAGCCCCGAGCTGTTTTCTTCCCTACAAGTCATCCCTTCCCTAGGAGAAAGCCTGGACTCAGCTCCTGAAACCAGGAGTGCTGGAAGTGCCACATGCTAAAAAAACAGCGTTTCTATTTTTGGTCTGACCCCCCTGGAAGGGATCAAATTCCAAAGGCTGTGACCTCAAGAGTAAACACCAATGTTTGAGTCCCACAGGGGTGTTGCAATCCTCGTCCCTACAGCTTTTGTTGACACGGGACCGCTGCTGCTCCATACAAGGCTCGAGGGTTGTGTCCCAGTTTATAAGGAAAACCAGGAAAACGACCACTCAAGAGCCCTGCATCCAAAAGGATTATGCTACAAAAGACAAACAAACCAACCCCTGGCCTGACCCCACAGCTGAGGTTGGGATAACCTGGAAGGCATCTGGATATGTGCACAGGGAAGCTGAATTCCAAAAAACATTTCCCGAGAATTTTTCCCGGAAAAACACTGAGAAATGCTTGCAGATGGAATGCCCAAAGGAGCTCTTACCCAGTGGGAGCTCAGCCTTCACTGTGATCAATGGAAGGAGAGATTTCCACTCGAAGTAGTTGGTGTAGGTGTGGAGAGGTTTGGGAAGCTCCGACAAGAACTTGGCAATCAATGCCTTATCCCAAGGGTTCTCCACAAGGACTTCATGGAAAAAAAAAAAAAAAAAAAAGAGAAGTATTTAAGCAACAAATGTCATTTCAAAGAGGTCACACAAGGTTACACTTGAATGAGCATCACTGATTCAAAGGAAATATTACAAAACATAAACCCCAAGAGGGATAAGTTAAACATCCCTCCCTTTGGACATTCCAGGTTTTAGACCTGTCAAAGATGCCCAGAAAGCTGGATTTTTCCAAAGCATTTGGGCCCTGATGAGCGCAGAACCTGTGAGTACTCCAAGTGTTCCTGCACTTTGGAATATCTTTGGCATCATCCAAACACAGGTTCAACCCACAGCTGTCCCTCCTCACATCCCTTGCAGGTGATCCCTGCTCCAATCTTGGAATATATAGCACAAAAAAACCCAGGGAATGCTCCATGCCTGCAGCTCCCACTCTCTGGGCTGTGACACCTCCACACAACTTCTCCTGGGAAGTTCTCTCCAGCCCTGCACAGGAAGATTCAGCTCTGCTCGTGGTTCTTTGCTCATGTTGTTGTTGAGAAGCAGCTCCAACAACTCCCTGAATGCCATTCCCACGTTTCAGGATGTTTTCCTGGAGCTCCCTTGGCTCTGTGACGTGTTCCAGAGCGAGGCTATAGGGATTGAAACCAAAATATCATTAGCTGACCCTTCTGCCACGGGGGTTTGGCACCTTCAGGAAGCAAAAAAACCATGTCAAATGCCCACACTCACAACCTTGGCCAGCACTGAGATGAATAAAATGGAATTTTCTTAAGAAAATAAGGTTTGGTCAAGTCCCATTCCCTGATACTTAATAATTTTCAAGTTCATCAACCAACAGGGAAGAAAGCAGTGGATTTTTGGACAGGTAATTTTTGATTGAAATGTGGCAAAACTTGAATCCTGGAAGCATTTTTTGGGGTGTTGTCACCCAACCCAGGTTCATTTATCCCCAGAGTGCTGAGAAATATCCTGAGCAGAGCCAGGCTCACACAAATACTTCAGAATTCCTTGGAAAACTTGCATTGGGATGTCCTGAAATCCCAGCCAGTCACGACATACCTTAATTTCTTGTTTTTTGTCTGTTTGTGCACTTCTCCAGAGAACTCCAAATCCATCTGTGGCAGGTCATCCCCACAGGCTGCACACAGGGAGCAGCAACAAGAGCAAATCAGTGTTCATTTTCCCCAAACACAGGAACATTTAGAGAATTCCCACCCACAGCTCCCCACAAAAACTAGAACTCCACAAGCCTAATTTAAAATATGTGAGTAAAGATCAGGGCTGGATTTCTCCAGGGGGTGTATTCCAAGATTAAGGAGAGGCAGAGCAGCATAAAGGTGGTGCTGGGATTCAGCCACTGTTTTGATCTTCACGACCCCTTGGAATTGGTTGGACACACCCATTGTCTTATCCCTTAAATCTCTCATCCCTCCAATTAGAAATCCTTGGAGAGCTGATGTGCTGGGCCAGCTCCCAGCTGGTTTTCCCACAGGGAACGTGGGCTCAGGAACGGCAGCAGTGGGAGGATTTGGCCAGATCCTATCCCCTGGGTAGGACGTGGCCAAAACTGGAGTCACGAGGCACCAAATTCAAAACGCCCTAATCCCAAAATATTCCTCATTTTACCTCTGTCCCCCAAAGGTTGTAGGGAATGAGCTGCCAGGTAGCTGAAGGGCGTCGAGACGAGCTGGGCAGCTCGTGCAAAGTCTCTGGTGTTGTTTGGACTGGCAGCCAAGGTTTTGTTGCTGCACTGGATGTTCCACACCGTGTAATCATCCCTCAGGAATTCCGTGGTCCCCGTCTCTTCCTACACGGGAGAAAAAGAGATAAAAGATCTCAAATTAAACCATCAAATTGTCTGCACTGTGACCTCCAGCAGCCTAATGGTGAGTCAACTTGTAATATTAGAAAAATAAAGGGTTATTAGGAAAATATAGGAATGGAAACATAAAGGTTGCATCCCAGGTTTCCATAGTTTTGGACCAGACATAAATGTTGGCAATAATCAGCAGCAGAGAACAAAAAAAATTGCCATGAGAGCCTGGAAGAGCAAATCTTATGATGATACAGGGATCACTTATATCCAGGCAGACTGAGGTTTTATGCATCTCCTTGGCTATGGAATCTGTGAGGCTGGAAGGTGAAATCCCTCTTCCTGCCCCCCAACTGATGCTGAATCCACGTAGGAACTACAGCTGGATTCATCCCAGGGGAGGAGGTCTCCACTCTCAAGCTCCCAGAAGTTTTATGAGAATTAACAATCCAAAAAAAAAAGCTCATCCCATCGGCAGGGAATGGGAAAGGGCATCCAGACTTCAGCCTGGCAGCCTTCCCAAGAATATTGTGGGACTGGGAGAGGACAAAAGGTAAATCTGATGACCCCCATAACTCCATAACCCACTTCCAAAGCCAATCCTTGCAGGATCACCACTCACTTCTGCTGCACAGTCAGTCAAGTGTTGTTGTCCAAGACTTCTGGGCTCCTCTGGCTTGTTCTTGTGCTGTGGGATGCTGAAAAACAGGAATTTTAGAACTCCTCTCCCCGGGAGCTTTCCCAGGCATGCTGACCAAAGCACACTTGTTCGGTTTTAACTTCGATATTTTTATATTTCTTTTCTTAAGAGTCCCGTTTGCAGCTCCTTGGAGAACCTGCAGCAGCTCAAAGAAACGAGTTATCCCCAAATTCCCCAGAAAAATGAAGCCTCCCAAGCACTGTCCAAACAGGGAAGTTGGGCAATTCCAGGGTAGCAACTACAGCTTTTCTCCTGCCACTCTCCACACAGCTCCTACCAGTTGTATCCAAGCCAATCCCGACTGGAATCACAGCCATGGCAAAGTTCTATGGAGTGGAATCAATCCCACATGGAATTTTTCACGAGCTCAGCTCAGCTGTTCCTTTTTCCCCCCTTACCTGCTGTTCTCCTTCTCATTCTCATCCTGAAAGATGGAAAACGCAGGAGTGGCAGGGACAGCAACATTAGTTTTCAAACACCCATCAGGCTCTGAAAAATAAGAGATAACCAATGTTATCTTCACCCAACAAAGATTATTTAAACAGCTCCATTTCCCCCCCATCCAGGTCCCTCCACCTGCAGAATTCCCATTCAAATCCCCTTTCCAATAAATGCTTGGAAATCAGATTTTTCCAGCCCAAAGCCAGTTTGGAAATCTCTCTGTGTTCACTCCTGTAAAACCCTGGGTGTCAGCCTGTCCTAACTTTTACAACAAGGACTGATGGGAGGTAGAAATGGGAAATAAAGGATGGAATAGCATGGATTGGGAAAATAAATAGCACACACCATTTTTCCTGAAAAAAGCTTCCAGTTCTTCGTTGCTGTTTTCCAGGGGTGATGGTTCAGGTAAGATGGGTGTTTGAAACACATCCATGAGAAAGCCTAATAAATGAAGAAAAATGGAAGGGAAAATGAAGGGAAAATAAAGAATAAATGAAGAAAAAAAAAAAGTAAAGGAAAAAAAACAACACAGGAATAACATTCCCAGCAAAAGAAATTTTCAGAGCTTCTTCCGTTGTGTTGTAGACAAATCAAATGCCAATTAATAATAAGAGTCTTAAAAGGTAATTAATTATAATGGTCTTATAATTTATCAAATGCCAGTAACAATTATTCCTCCCAGACACATTTAAACCCCCCCCCAGACAACTGAACAGACACAGGGAGGTCCAGTTTGGCCACCACACACCTTCCAAGGCCTCCCAAGGGGGCAAATTCTCCTTTAATTTCCCAGATTTTTGGAAAACTTGGATATTTGGAAAACTAAAGAACGCCACAAGTTTCGGGGGTTTATTTTTTGGTTTTTCTTTTCAGGGAGATTTATTCAGCTCAACATCAACCAAGAGCTGGCAACTTCCAAATTGATCTGCTGCCTACAAACAGGAGTCCCTGACAGCAGTGACAAGAGCAGCTCAGGGACTCCCAGAGAAGCCTGGCAGGGACTTCTCCAGGAATTTATGGGATGTGGCTGCTGGGATGCTGTTAAAGCACCTCTTTTTGGCCCAAAGTTCCGAGTCATCCAAATTCCAGCAGAAGGTTGATGGTTTAATATTTTCCTCATTGACTGAAGGGTGAACTTGCCCACCACTAAAGAACTTCCTTGGCTAGTGGAGCGCTCAGATTTCCAGGCCAGATCCCACTAACTCCAGAGGAAGCAGGATGTCATCCCAAAGATCTTACCCAAGGCTTCCTTCGTGTGCACCGTGGGCGACGGCTGCACTTTGAAGGGCGTTGCCTGCTTCCCTCCTGCCAGAGAGGTGTTCGGGGTGGCCTGGGAAGCATTTCCAGAGGCAAAGGAGGAATTTCCACCTCTGGAGGCTGAAAAAGACAACAGGGAGATCAGATCATTCCTGAAGGAGCCTGGGATTGTTTACGGACATTCCAGCGGCAAGGAAAATGTTAGTGAGGAGAAGTAAACAAGGCGAGTAGAGGAATGACGGCGCGGGATTTTGGGAGGGATTTTTGGCTTGTTTACAGACCTGCAGGGCAGATTCCCAAGAGAAACCACCCTGAGAGACAAGAGGGACCTGGGGCAGCTGGGTGGCCCCTGAGGAACCTGCCTGCAATTCACGGGAATGATCTATCCCAGCAAGGACAAACAGGGATCTCCCGACTGCAACTGGGAAAGGAACTGCATGGAAGGTGGGAACAGGGGTTGGATGCATGGAAGGGAGGGAGAGACCTTGCCCAGACACACGGGGATGGAGTCAGGGAAGTCAAAAAGCTTTGCTAGGGTTGGAACCAGTGTCCACATGCAATTATTGATCCCCAGCCAGGAACAGTCACACCAACAGCATCAGTGTCCGTCCCAACTGGGCTCCTCACCTTCCCTCACATCCACAGCAGGAGTCAATCCAGTGGATCTCTTGGGGTGCCTTCTGAGGAAAGAGTGACAACATCAGCTTGGAATAGAAACTGTTTAAATCCCATTTTAATCCCTATTTAAATGAAGTGAGAAGTCCTTTAGAATATTATTAAATATCAACCTCTGAAAGATCCTCCTACAGCTGCCAGTGAATATGAAACCTGGAAGGCAGCAGAGTCCTTTAGAAAGGTTAAAATGCATTCAACGCTCTCCTGGGACATAGTTTGCCTCCAAGGAATTCCGTGATATGAGTGAATAACTGGTTCCAACTTGGCCAAGCCTACTCAGCCACCCTCCCTTTGCCAGCCTGGGTTTCTCCCTCTGCCCCCCAATTTTGTGTCCTCTATTGGCCCAGTCCCACAGCAGAAGTGCAGGAGAAAAATACCAACAATTTTATCCTTCTCTGGAGACCTCAGGGTGGGATCTGCACGACCAAGGCATTCCTGGTGTTTATTCCAGGGACAGCCAGGCAGTTACACACCCAATTCCCTCTTATCATAATTAAACCACAGCGGGTTAAAGGAATTAAACACTGCAGTGAGGACTAAGTTTGCTCCGTGCCTAACAAACACCAGTTTCCACAGGTGACTTCAGGTGGGTGGGTTTGTTTGTTTCTTTTCAGAAGGGGTGGAAAGACTCCTTTTTAGTTCATTCCCAGCCGGTGTAGGCGCTGAGGACACGAATTGAAGGAGCCTGTTCATACTCACTGTTGCAGAGCTGAGTCGGGATGTGCCCGTTCCTCAGCTGAGGCACCACTGAAGGGAGGGTGCACCAGACTCTTCTGGAGCTCCCCAAGCTCTGGCTGAGCTCTGTCTCTGTCCTTCTCCTCCCTTCTTTCCCACAAGGAGGCCGACGGGACCCGGCAGCCGAGGGGCTTTGCTGGCGGCAGGGTGGGAGCAGGGGCTGGGCCAACACTGGGCTGGGGCTGCTCTGGCACCTCGGGCACACCTGAGGTTGGAGCAGGTGCCACGCAGTTCCCTGGCGGGGCTGTGCTGGGCCTGGCACACGGGAGCACCTTTAGGGGTGAGAAATGACGCTCAAACATCCCGCAAAGTCCAGCCGAGAAACGTCCCTCGACACCCAAACACCCCCCAGGCACAGCCACTGCCATTTGCCCTTCAGTTCTGCACGACTAGAACAGCTTTTCACACTTTGGAGAACTTTCTAAAACTAGATTCTAGAGAT